CACTTTAAATCACACTGCACAAGGCCATACATGCCTCTGAAAGTAACTAGGCCTGCTTTTTGTGTCATCTGCTCCCATTGGGGTCACACCTTCACTGCCTGCTGTCGAAGTGATCGTCCCAGATGTCGCCTCTGTTCACGTAACCATCACTCCTCCGTCTGTGCCCAAAAAATCAAAGGCCACCTCAATGGGGATTGTGTGGGCTATGTTGTTGACCCCAGGTGTTGTAATTAAGGTGGCTGGCACAATGCTGACTCACGACAATGCCCCAAACGTCCGTCTGTCCCAGGAGAAAAGCCTCCCCGAAGGCTGCGTCAATCTCAACCTCTCCCCCAGCCTACCGAGCCTTCTTTAACAACACCAGCCCCTGCCTGGCCTCATCTGGCTGCAACACAGCATTCCCGGCCATCTCCTAACTCAATTACAACTGGGCCTCCTCCCCGTCTCCACTCAGACACTGTCAGACCTTGTGCCCCCACCGGTGCCCCCCCACAACCCCTCTCCGGTGACACGACACAGATCATATCCCTCTTACACGAATTTACCAACCGTATTGAAAGACTCTTTGATACACTCTGTACCGCCATCTCCAACCTACACAGACTACCCCTGCCTCCAGCAGCTACCCAGTCACCCCCTCTTATGGTTTGACACAACCTGGTAGCCCCCCAGTGTGCCCCTCATGCTCACGGCCTACTCCACCGCTGCCTGGCACCACTGCTGGCGTCCACACAAAGCCTGCCCCGTGCCCGGCTGCCCCCGTCCACCCACCACACGCTCATGGTCCCAAGGACACCACCCATGGCTCCCCGTCCTCCACCAGCATGCCAGCACCTGGGGGCCATCCACTCCAGTTCTTCACATCAATTGACCACCATGCGAACATGCTAGTGGACTACGTATCTACACCAAGAAGGATGTCCCCTACCAACCTCTCGACATCCCCCTTGAAGACGACACTACCGACGTACACGTCATCACAATCACACTAAAAGTTATGTCCCTCAATATTGTCAATGCCGATGGCTATGGCTTGGCACTGGACATTATTAGGGACAAGCCACGCTTTGCCATAAATAGATAAATTGTACCGGGAAATTTTCCCCCCACACAAATCATTCTGTCACTTTATGTAACTTGCTGACAAAACCCATGACCCTTCAGGCTTTTACGCCCTTAATGCATGAGTCATAAAGGCAAGCATAAACTCCGCATGCTTCCCAGATGGGCACTGTAAAAGCTTCTGCGCTTCACCATGCACAGGACGTAAGGGGGTACCCAATAAACTAGCCCCTCCGGGACAATCTAAAAAAAAAAAAAGTAACTAGAATCGAGAACTTTACCTATACGTACTGTATCAATTATTCCTTAAAAAAAATTTCCTTTAATTATACTATCACAAGTAGCTATGATTATTTTACTATAATCTATAATGAGTTTAAGTAAGCCAATCTGATTTAGTGTAATATGTTGGCTGTTGTTTTGAACAGTTGTGCCTCCCTGCTGATATGGATGTCTTGCATATAGCAAATTCCATCTCAGTAATGACATCACTGTGGCTTAATTCATCAGGTAAGCAGGGTCTTTCCTTTATGTGGAAGTGAAAGAAGTGTCAGGCTCAGAGTGGATCAGGATCTGCTCAGGTGGTACGAACATGTTGAGAGAATTGAATGTGAGAGACTGACAGAAAGAGTGTAGTATAAACATAGGTGAAAGAACAGGAGGGAAAATTTCTTTTGTAACTTCAGATTTTTGTAAATGGGAGACTGCCTGCATAACCAAACTGACAAAAGCAGTGTCATATATTATGGTACAAGCTTTCCTTGGACAGATGCTCGTGAGAGTATCAACTTTATGCAATTAATCACTTTAGGGAAGCCTCTTTGACCCATACTATTCAGTTGATAGATTTTTTTTTGGGGATAGCCCTCTCGGCAGAGCATGCAGTATGGTACGGTAAGGTCATGAGGGTGATAAAAGTTCGGTTTGATATTACGGTTCGATATTTTTTCCAAAGTTCGGTACGGTATGAAAGTACAATTAATTTTTTGTACTTCTATTGCACCTTTTCGAACAAAGCCACTTCCTTGAAATGTTGACTGGCCAAGACAATAGCTTGGGGCAATGCAGGTGTGCTCCAGCCTTCAGGTCAGGTCAGGTGAAGCCATGAGGTCAGGTCAAGTCAGGTCAGATCCGGCCACACTTAGTGAGCCCCACAAAATTACATTGTCCCAGGGAAGATGCACCTGCCAGCTGACACACACACACATAATGACATATTCTCATCGGGCTGCCAGTCACACAAGCTAGTGTCGAACGAACCTTTTTCGCCTTGTGATATACAGTATATTGCAAGAACGTCGGCTGGGACTCAAGGCAGACATTATTGATGCTATAATGATGTTGCGTTGCAACACATAATATGTAGTTTTTGTGGGTTAAGGACAGAAAATTAAGTAAAATGTGTAATTTAGCATTAATATGTTAGAATATTAATTATTATTATGTTAAGAACAAAATACTAAAGTTAATAATACAATAATTCTTGTTTTGCTACACCTGAAATTGGGATACATTTTGTTTTGGGGATATGAAATCAGGTATGGAATTACGGTATGATATTTTATAGTACTAATACGGTATGAAAGTATATCTGAGGTATGGTATGAAATTACGGTATGGTATTTTTCCTTTTGTAAAATTATGATAAATCAATCGTACCATACCAAAATGCATGCTCTGCCTCCTGGGCACAGGTCATCAACCACAATGGGCCCTAGGGGCAAAAAAATAAGAGTAAAAAGAAATTAATGTATTATTATTATTATTATTATCATCATTACAGTACAGTACTACACTCCCCAAACTTCTTTGAATTAGAGAATAGAAACAATATCTTTGAAGGATTTTTGTTTTGTTTTCAGGATTAATTTTTTCCTTAAAAAATAATTACCGGGGTACCTTTTGCTTTTAAACCATAGAAGAAGACTGAAATACAGTATATATATATATATATATATATATATATATATATATATATATATATATATATATATATATATATATATATATATATATATATATATATATATATATATATTATATATATATATATACACACACACAATCAACACTTCAACCCGCCAGGATTCGAACCCACGGCCCATGACTGAGACCGGGGAACGCTAACCGCTGGACCACCAGGATGCTAAAAGCAGTCCTAGACTTTGTTATATTTCACACAAAGCCTGTTCAACGAGCTTATGGCGCCGTGAACCTCTAATGGGGACTACCCGTATCACGTAGGTGGTCAGAGTAACGTTTTACCAAATCTGGCTAATGAAATATATATATATATATATATATATATATATATATATATATATATATATATATATATATATATATATATATATATATATATATATATATATATATGTATGTATGTATGTATGTATGTGTATGTATGTATGTGTATGTATGTATGTATGTATGTGTGTATGTATGTATGTATGTATGTATGTATGTATGTATGTATGTATGTATGTATGTATGTATGTATGTATGTATGTATGTATGTATGTATGTATGTATGTATGTATGTATGTATGTATGTATTTATTTATTTATGTATGTATGTATGTACAGGTTACTGACCTCTTATCCTAAATCTAAACCTAAAAGGCTCTGAAACCGAGTTTTTTTTGTGGAGCAATTTTTTTTTTTTTTTTTTTTTTGTAGTTAGCCCACCAGGCACAGGTCACTGACCCACATCAGGCCTGGGGTGAAAATGTAATAATAATAATAATTATAATAACAATGATAATACAGTAATAATAATAATTATTCATAGTTAATAAAAAATTTTAAAATGTAATAAAATGTAATAGTAATAATAATTATAATAACAATGATAATACAGTAATAATAATAATTATTCATAGTTAATAAAAAATTTTATAAATAATACACAAAAATAAAATAAGAATGATAACAATAATAATAATAACAATAATACTGTAATAATAATAATAATAATAATAATAATAATAATAATAATAATAATAATAATAAAGAAATACAAGAATGGAAAAAAGATCAAAAGTGCAAAACACGACCTAGACCTATGAATTATTATTGTTATTATTAATATTATTATAAATATTATTATTATTATATTTTAGCCCCCAGGCCCCAATGTGGGTCAGTGACCTGTGGTGGGCTAGATCCCCCAAAAAAAAAAACTAATTAACCATTCTGAAAACCGAAAAAATCCAAAAACCGAAATGCAACTGGTCCCAAGGATTTCGGATAAGGGATTGTCAACCTGTATGTACAGTATGTATGTATGTATGTATTTATGCATGTATGTATGTATGTATGTATTTATGCATGTGTATGTATGTATGTAATAATAATAATAATAATAATAATAATTAACGGTTTATTGAAAGAGCATAGCAGCCAGAAGGCTGAAAATATACAGTTACATTGGGGAATGGGTTTCGATTTACAAATAATATACAAGTAACATATGTGATACAAATAAGATATATAATAACTAGATGGAGGAAAGCTCAAACTACAGGGCATTTCAACATAGTGACAGTGCAAGAAGTAGGATTTACTGGGAGTAAATATGGTTTATTACAAGTTATTGATAATTTTTACAATGGTTGGGACTGGGCTGTTCTTATATATATATATATATATATATATATATATATATATATATATATATATATATATATATATATATATATATATATATATATATATATATATATATATATATATATAATATATATATATATAAATAAAAGATATCCCATAAATATATATATAAATATAATATATATATATATATATATATATATATATATATATATATATATATATATATATATATATATATATATATATATATATATTAGACAGACATCTTGCAAATTCAATATTTTTGAGAAATCATAGTAAGATCCATCCACTTCAAAACTTACGTGAGATTAAACTTGAAATTAAACTGCCAAGTACTAAACCCCTGAGGTGTCTTGCCATGTTCATCAAGAAATGTGAGACCCAGCTGGATGATTTTGAGGAGGTCCACATTGCATCTTAGCAGCTGGTACTGGTAATCTGCATTACTTCGGAACTCACCAATTGGTCGTGCAACCACACCAGGAAACTCTGTGTCCTGGGGAGTGTAAAAAAAGTGAGTGCAGTTAATAAGAAAAGTAGTAGTGTAGTTAATCAAAATAAATTCAGGAAGCGCAACTTAGAATGAGGATATACTTGCAAGTACTGTATTAGATAATTAAAAATACAGTATAGTACAGTATGTATATGTAATCTTAATAAGTAAAACTTTAATTAGTAACAGGTACATGTGTACACAATGCAAACACAAAAGACCCTCAATAAATAAATAAATAAATAACAACCTTATATAGAACACTGTGATAAAGTGTGTCAGCCACTAAATTAGACCATAATTTTGAGTGCAATGAAGGGTTCTGATGGAGATTTGCTGTTTAAACAATAATCTGAATCAGTAGTGAAGGGTTTGTATAGAAAAATCACTGGTCAAAGAAAAATAGTAAGCATGTAAGGGAAAGTAATGGATGTAGAACAATGTCAGCCAAGAAAATAATATTTTTCTAAGCAGCAAAAGAACAGCTTTATTAACCACTACAAGAAACACTATAAAAATAATATGAAGATTGATGCTGGGGGTTTTAGAATGTCAAAGACAGTTTGTGTGGATTGTAAAAGCGTAGAATAATCATTTATGATCTTTAATCGCTTTCATTTCCTTGTAAAAAAAATTATTATATATAGGGGATACCAATGAACTTCTAGGGTCCATGAAGATATCTCTATTTCATTCAAGAACAAGATTTTATGGAACTTAAACACATTCTTTACCAAGGCTCCTCTGTATTTATTAAACACTCACACATAGTTTTATATGGTTCTCTTTTGTTAAGCAAGGTCAAAAGTGGTAATAAGCACAAATTTCATTATGGTAACTGTAACAGCTTAACAGCTAAGAAATTGTTTTAATTTGGAACTTCTAAAATCTGCAAAACATATGGTAACTAAAGTACTGTATAGTTACTAATTGGAGAATGGCGTGAACATAATACTGGGACGTATTAAAGGAGGATTTGATAACTATAATAAAATACTGCAAACAAAATTTGTTTACAGACACCTAAATAACTGCCATTACATACCATGGCAACATAGGGGAACTGGTGCACAATGCAGCGGATGTGATGAAACTCCTCTTCCATGTTGTGTGCCCATACTTCTCGTATCCCACAATCCTCATTGGACATCGGCCGTGTCACTCCACTGTTCCTCCCTCCCCCACGATTACCACCACCGTCACTGTTCTCTCTCTCCCCTGTCCCACTACTTCCACCGCCCAACACGAACGGCCCAGTTATACTCGGCATCACACTTTGAACCATTCAAAAACGGTTACAAAACTCTGGAATGGGTACCATAAGAAAATTAGATATTCGTGGGCCATGTTTGGCTAAATAATAAATACATAATTACATGTATACAGTACTGTATAACAATTACATTTACATATGAAAACAGTACAGAATATTCTTTCTGACCATTACAGCATACACTATACCTGTACATGAAAATAAACATATAATAATGCAGTGATTCTGAATGAAATACAGTACAGGTATGTGATTCTGTCACTCAAACATTTTCTTTCAACCTTTTATAGTAATTTTTGGTATCATTTTAGTTTCAATCATCTGGGGAATCTTAGGTATTTAACTATTGGCATCAGTAGTTTAGACAATTCTAAGACACCTTTCTTCTATGACGTTTCCCTCGCAAACGACTTACATATGCTAAGGAGGTGGGGAAGCAAAGCCCCCCCAGTTAGAAGGTTAGGTCAGGTCATTTGCAAGGGAAACATCATAGAATTGTCTAAACTGCTGATTCCAGTAATTAAATACCTAAGATTCCCCAGACGACCGAAACTAAAACTTTACCTAATTTTGTTGTAAATATATAATTAAAACCCATTTCAGCTATTTTTGTTTAATCACTCTTTTTTTCTAATATAATTTTGCATGCTTTATTAATTTCTGACCTTCACTTCTTGTGCAAATGTTTCAGAAATTACAAAAAATAATCTAACCTAACCTTACAGTATTTCTACATTTTCAAAAATGAAAATGTAACCAAACCAAACTAAACCTAACCAAACCTAAAATATCTTACCACATGATAACTATCTCTCTCTTGCCTAGTGATTCAAGGATTATCGCACTGTCCGCAGGTTGAAATTTTCCTAAGAATGCCATCCTTCAGAAAAATGTCTGTTTTATACATCATCTCTGTTTGAGTTGTATTAATTTCACAAGGTCCAAGAATGAATAATTACAACTGCCACACACAACCATATTTCAGGAGAGTCAAGACACAACTGAAATAGGCTAGAGAAAAGAATTTTTAGTACTCGATGATGATTGTCTGAATCAGAACCGCCTTGATCTTAATTAACTTGATGACCAACTTGGCGCAACAGACCTGGTAAAAGTAACCCAGTATTTTATAACGTATATATAATTCCACAACAACGCTAGTTAATATCCATGTGCACAAAATTTCAAGCACTTGGTAATGCATGGTATTTTTCCCAGTCTTTCCATAAGGTTGATTTCTTAATTGCTAAAATGGGCTTTAATCATACATTAACACAATTTTTTCCATTCCAGTTTTAAACTCACAATAATACTATAGATTTGGATTTCTCTTGCTAAGAACATGAGTACCCTTATGTCATGCCCTGCTATGTATCCAAATGTTCTTTATTTTCATTAGCATTTGTCCTAAACGAGTTTGATTAAAGGCAAAATATCTACAGTACAGAGGAAGGCTACTGTTATGGTATGCTGCACAGGATAACCTAACCCAACCACCCATGTGGTAACCAACAATGTGAAGACTTTTGACTCATTTATTGCAACTAAAAACAATATTTTAGCTAATAAAGATTGAGAGATGATTTCACAAGCCACACAGGGCACCTTTCAACAAAAAATACGTGAAAATACAATAATACAGTAATGCCAGGAACCCAAAAGTATGGTTCTGATTTCGGCTCCTACTAAAGTTACTGCATATCCATATAGGAAATATTTCAAAATCTTAATTAAAAAGAATTGGCTAGGTTATACTCTGAGGTACCGTTGACTGTAGTAACAATAGTAAATGGGATTCTATATTCTAAATTCAATAATAGTTCACATCTTACCTTACTCTAAAATGTAAACATTGCCAGGCTGCACAATCTCCACCCTTACTGATTTCACCTGTAATTTTCAAGCTTTCTCACAACTTAGATATCTACAACCACTTTCTTTTGAAGTAAACCGTATAAGAGCACTCTTTAGTATCACTAAGCTGGGCGGGCCATACGTTAACTACAGGTTACAAAAAGAAAAGGGCATTCGACAGCCGCCTTATCAGCATCTTCACCATTCACGGTCCATCAAAATGAAAATACTACACTGGGTTTTAACATATGGGTGGATCCCGTTGGCTTTCTGACGCATCACTTACTTTGGGGTGAATTTCAAGATGCTTGTGGACTATATAAAGTAAAACGGAAGTTTATATATGGAGAGTAGTAAACATTCAAACAAATTCGAGTGGTTCCTGTGTCCACAAGCACAGCTGACAGTGACGTCATTTACCACATAAGAAAATGGGAAATATTTTTGTACTACGAAAAACCTGATAGGGAAGCTTTGTATGTTTGGGGATATTTAGAGATATTTTAGTGTAAGTTTATTTGTTGATTTAATATTCCATGTGCAAACTACTGTAAATGCAGATTTTATAGTGTGGAAGGGAATGAATCTCCCTGTTATTGTTGAAATGTAAACTTCCATAGGACTTATACTTGATACTCTAACTTTAATTATGCAGTATAATTTAAGCTTTTTAATTTAATTAAGGGTTTTATATTGAAATAAGCTAATATCATATGGACTATATGTTCAATAGGCAATTAATGATTACTAATTCATTGCTCGGAGAAAGTTAAATGATCTCAGTCAATCTATGGTCAGCTGCTGAAATGTTCGTGATAACTGATAACTACATATATTTTCGCTTAGGTTACATAAATTACATAATTTTTACATAATATAATTATATCGTTACATTCAGATATATTTATAATGGCTGATATCCTGCTAAAGATTAAAGGAAGGCAAAATTAAGACTGACTTTCATGCGACTTCAGTCGCTCTTCTGCCAATTGCTTTGCCTGTCCAAAACTTGTCTTTTCTAACTTGACTCAAAAGATTTTCGTACGAGAGGGACTTTTCCATTGCGGCTTAACGTAGTAAGTGAATATTTCATGAATATCCATGTTTTGGTGAACAAAATATCCAGTAGTAATATAACCAAGCAAAATATAATGAGAATGTGCACTGGAATCATTGTTTTACTTCTAATGACCTTGTTGAGAAGTTAAATCTGAAATTCCTGGATTACCTAGATACAGTTTTTAGTATGCTAGATCTATGCAGTGCATATCATCAAGTGGCTATCAAACAGAAAGATAGACCATACACTGCATTTGAGGCTGGTGGACGTCTTTACCAATTTTGTAGAATACCTTTTGGTGTTACTAACGGTGTTGCCAGTTTCCAACGCATAATTGATGACATTGTGACAAAGGAGAAGCTAGATGACACTTTCGTTTACATCGACAACGTGACAGTGTGTGGTTGCGACAAGGCAGAACATGATGCCAACCTCAAATGGTTTTTAGATGTGGTCAAAAGGTATAACCTAACGTTGAATGATGACAAATGCAACTTCTATCTGACGTCTGTTGACTTGCTTGGTTACACAATTAGTGAACAGAATCAAGCCTGACCTGGAACGCTTGAGGCCCCTCCTGGACCTTCCTGTTGTGGGGTTGTAGTGGCTCCTCTCCCCTACAACTTCCAACTGAGCTCCGGCCGCGCGCCTACCAGCCAATCAGCGTACAGCCAGTTACGCCGAGAGACTAGGTCTATGCAGTGGACGTAGAGGTACGATCGCCGACCTAGTCTCGACCTTCAACCTCCAGCTCAGGATCAGAGCGTTTCACACCTTACGCTTAAGCCGCTGTGATTGGCCCTCTCGCTACGCTCACCCCAAATCCTGATCCTCGTAAATTGTATAAATACGGCCATGCCTGGCCAGGGAGACCATCTTTTCACAGACACACACAGACACATTCGCCAGCCAGCCAAGGATTCATTCATCGCCCTCTGCCTGACAGAAGAAGACGTTGACTCCCTACTGTCTGGGAAACCATGTCATTCTTACTATAACACTTATTATACTTACAACAGTAGCCTGCCACCACCCAGACTTTTATTAGAATATAACATATCCCATATTGAACATATTGAACTGTTAGGTAGCGTGTTAGTGAGCTTCTAGGCACGTGAGTTACAAAAGTTATTTTCTGAGAATCAATTGGTAGAAGGAATAGAGCGGTGATACCCGTAGTTTACTAATTCAATATTTATTAACATAAGGAGTGAACAGGATGTTAATTAAGTACACTCAGACAAGACAGGACCCCTTAGGTCAGGGGTGGGCAAAGTACGGCCCGCGGGCCACATTTGGCCCGCCAAATTATTTTTGTGGCCCGCCACTGCATTTGTATTTACAAATACAAGCCTTAACTTTGTGTTAATATAATACATTTGCATCTACATTAAGTGGGTGGCCCGCGAAGTGTGCCACCATTCATGAAGTGGCCCTCCATCAAAAATAATTGCCCACCCCTGCCTTAGGTCTTACTTTACAATTCATAAAATAGATCTTCAATTACTTATTACATCATTAAACAACTGTTATATTATTTCTGACAAGTAGCAAAATAGATCTTCAATTCTTGCTTACAACGTTAAACAATCATTATATTACTACACTGGCAATACAGATGGTTATATGACAAACTTGACAATATCCCAAATTAACATTTTTTATAACATCATGTTGTTTCGGAATGAACAGCATGGCACTTTTCACTCAGTTGGTAATACATATGAATAATGTACCCACAACACGTTATTACTGATACTATCAAAATTTATGGGTTCACTACTCAACTTGGGATAACTATATTTCTGCTAATTATCCCCAATCATATACAGCTATGATACTTTGGCCCATATAACTGTAAGGAGTGCCCCAGGGTGTCATACTGGTGTCACCACAACAAACGAAGAGCGCTGTTAAGGTCGGTTGTAGTCAGACACACCGCGAGGGAGTTCGGGCCTAATTCCCAGGGTGAGGACTCGCACAATTTAATCGTGCCGAATTAACAAAATCCTGCAAGTCAGCCAGCTGGTATGCAGCTACCGGTCCCCCGGTGACTGTCGGGTATTCAGCTAACACACACACTGTGTCTGAGATATGATGGAACAGCGTCAGAGATGTGAAAAATAACTCAATCACAAACAATCTTTCGTCTGGCAACAACAGACGATATTTACGTTACATTAATTCTTTCACTGGGTAAATGATAATTTCACTGTGTATGAACCTCTGTCCTGCATGGCAGTGAACAGTGGCATTACCCACATGAATCTGACCTATATATAGTGTCAATGACTATGATGCATTCTTTGTGTACGAACCTTTGTCCTGTATGGCAGTGAAGAGTGACATTACCCACATGAATCTGACCGACGTATATGTATGTATGTATGTGTGTATGTGTGCATGTGTGTACATATATGTTGTATATGTATATGTGTATGTATAATAATAATAATAATAATAATAATAATTGACGGTTTATTGAAAAAGTTCTGCAGCCCGAAGGCTGAAAATATACATTGGACATAAATGACTTATTACATACATTGGTGGTTTAACAAAAGCCTTCATTAGAGAAAGGTAAAGGAACATACAGTGAACATACAGATTATTGTAGGTGTTGAACAGCAAAAACGTAGTGTAGTAACTCCCTCCCAGATGGTGTTAGGAGGGACCTCACGTGGTGTAGTAGGGGGCAGGGAAAAAACACTTTTATTTGAGTTGCAGGCTGCACTTTTCAGGCATCGTTTGTATGGCTGTAACAAACACCTGTGCAAAATTTCATGCCATTTCATGCATACTTACCCTGCCGCATCGCGAACGACTTTTTGTCAACTTTTAGTGTATACCAAAAATTAGGTGTCATTTAATGTTTTCCAGGATAATGATAAATTTTACATGGGTGACATCGATTTAATTCACATGTTATTTTACAGGTACACCGTATAGAAAATCATTACAAGTTCATATTGAAATTCTTTTTTGTGCGGAACCTTGGCATCATTTTCCTAGACAATAATCTTTGCCTAATATATCCATCTCTCGATTCGTATCCCGTCACTTCAGTGCAAGCTTCAGTCATCACTTTTATGCCTCTCTCGACCGCCTGAGTGCTGTTTGGCCACTTGGGCACCACTAATGGTGTCTCAAGAATGTCATTAACCTGTAGATTTGACAGAGAAGCAATGTAAGGAGGCTCAGTCTTGAGTTCATTCCTCCAGTTAATCATGGAATGATAGTTTTTTGCTTGCCACTTTAGTTTCGGAGTCACCACCTTTCTCATGTTGACTACAGGAGGCACATCCTCATTCCCATCTCCATCTTTACCCTCCTCATCAGTATAGTTTAACAAATTCTCGTCAACAGCAGCATCAGAATCTTCCTCCTCCTCTTCAGATCTGCCAGTGCATTCTTCCTTTTGCTGATTCTCCTCTCTAATTTTTCTTATCATTGAGACAGCTTTTTCTCTAACAGTCATGTCCTCATCTGCACACATACCAAGAAGAAGTTGATCTGTGTGGGCGAAGTATGCATTTCTCTGGACAGCCTTCTTCACTATCGTCTCCTCCTCACTATTCAGGTGTTTCATATATAGCAGGGACTGGAATACGTTCCTTGAGCCGTGTGTTACGTAAGGGTGTATCTTGATGTAAAACCACATTGGAGCACTGAACTTTATTATTGTAATGACAATTCTTTTCAACTCATGGCTGGGTCTTGATGTTGCTACATACAGCCTGAGGATTCTACTCCATAAGGTGTTCCACCTTGACACACAGGGAGGACCTGGCTCAATAGCAGCCAAGTCATCTTCAACAACACCTGTGATAACTCCTTTACAAATCCTATACAGGTATTTCTGATCCCAGGACAGATCTTTCTCCACTTCATCATTAAACACAGGGAAATCAGGGAAACTGACTGGCTGGAAGGCGACAACTGGAAGCTCAGACAAAGACTCCTTGATCTGCTTTCCAATGGGACCACGCCAATGCTCAGGACCACTTGGTTTACCATCATAGTGATAAAAAACTGCGCGGAAAGGCAGCTCATTTCCGTGAAGCTGACATATGAAATAATGGAGCGGGTGACCAAGTAATATTTCAAGATGATGAATGACTCCATTTTCTGATCCTACATTTACATTGGTTCCATCACAACCAACACACACACAATGGGCTGCTGGGTTAGATTTTTCTCCACCAGAAACTCGTGAATAGTTTTGGCAATCTGCTTTCCGTGTCCAGTCTTGGGAGTCACATGTGTGAGATATTCATTGCCAGGCTCAACCATGATGACATAATGATCTTTCACCATCATCCTCGAACTCCATTTCTCGGTCTTCTCATTCTTTATCATCACACGAGTGGCGG